TATGCTTAGAAACTACTAAAAATTGCAAATCACTTCATTGTTATATTAACTATAAACATGCCCATCTCCTCTTCACTATTCTGCTTAACTGCCCAGATACTATAATCAGGTCTAGAAATGCTTGGCAGTATTTTTTGGTGAGATTGGTAAGAAGGAAATTTGTAGGATAATAATTAAATAAAAATATGTTTGCATTGAGTATCTAATAGGAATTTAATTGTGATGCAATGTAGGGTCATGAAAGTGAAATTACAATTTGGAGGGCTCCCTCCATAATAATAAAAATAAATGAACTATGCTGCACATTCTGAAATTATATGAAGCCTAAGTTTGTGTTGTATTGTTATAACCTCTTGTTACAGCAATAATTATTTTGAAAATAAATTGCAAATATTTTACTTAATTTTAATAGTTATTTACATACTTACTTGTATTGTCTTGATGTCTATAATACTGCCTACTTGAACTATACATTTTTGTTTTTGTTCGGTTTCTCTTACAGGTAGTCCTCGGCTTGCAGCCATTTGCTTAGTGAATATTCAAGTTGCAGTGGCATTGAAAAGAATGACTTACAACTGTTTTTCACACATACAACCATTGCAGCATTTCTTTGGTCATGTGATCAAAACTCAGATGCTTGGCAACTGGTTCATATTTATGACAGTTGCCTTGTGATGGGATCATGTGATCATTTGTGAGCTCCCAACAAGCAAAGTCAATAAGGAAGCCAAATTCACTTTACAGCTTTGTAACTAACTTAAAAACTGCAGTGATTCACAACTGTGGCAAGAAAGGTCGTAAAATGGAACAACTCATTTAACTGTCTCACTTAACAACAAAAATTTTGGGCTCAATTGTCATAAGTCAAGGTCTATCTATATATGAATAAGGAAACAAATTGCTTTTTCAATTATATGTATTGATCAAATAACCTCAATGCATTTTGAAGTATATGGTTTTGGAGGTAGGGAAATTAGTTTATTGAAGAATTGTAGGGTAACAGTTGGATATAACGGAGAAGAGAGATAGTAAAACAGGAAGAAAGGATTATTTTCATAATAAAGATATAGTTGAAGCCAAAAAAGGGAAATAATTAAAATATTGTTTTTGTAAAACTAAGATGATATATTGGTAGGAGGAAGTTTTGCCAACATATATGCCCTATGGCAGGGGTGTCAAACTCAAGGTCTGCAGGCCGGATCTGGCCCAGCCCACGAGGCCATCCTAGTCTACCCAATGTGAAGATGAAAGATTGTTCCAGTGTACCCAGTGCGAAGAAAGATCAAACCAGCGGTAGCTTCAGCCCAGTCTAACCAGTGCAAAGAGGAAAGATCAGGCCAGCGTAGCTTCTGCCCGGTCTACCCAATGCGAAAAGGAAACATGCCAGCAATTTGGGGAGTGGCATCAAGCTAGTCACAGCCACCCAGGCAGCCATGTCCGCCCAGCCCCCGAAGTCAACCAGAGCCCTGATGAGGCCCTCAGTGAAATTGTTTGACATCCCTGCCCTATGATAAAGCTATTCTGCATTTTTGTTATAAAGCAGACATTTTGAATCAGGAGGTTAAGGAGAGGAATATGTAATTGAATCCTCTCCTTTAGCTTTTCTTCCCCATTCAAGAATCTGGAGGAGGTAGATGAGGAAATGGAAATTAAGTAAAGAAAAAATATTTTTACGTCTTAGAGTCATTGAAAAGCACAATTTCAAAGATATGTGAACATTAAAAGCTGTAACCTTTCCCATCTATTTCAGAAATGGGAAATACCATTAGAAGATGAAAAAGCAAAGAAAGTCTCTTTTCTGACCATGCCACCTCTTTAAGCACAAAATTTTGGTGTATCATGGAAAAGTAATTAATTGAAATGATAAATTTTGACAAAAAGTCTTACTTACAATGTCATTTTACTGTAAAAAACTGAAAATGTACATAAAGTCTGTAAGTGTTGGGAAACTTCGAGCTGGGCAGGGAGGAGGGATTAAATAAGGGAATATATCCTTCAGTCCTTGTGTAGCTTCAAGAGATAAAACTGACCTTCCTTGAATTTCATGGAACGTTACCTAGTTCTTAAGACATGCAGTCCGGAGAGATTTTTGTACTGGTAGAACATAACCTTGCTATGGGCCCTGCTATGAGTCTAATTTAATTGATTGCACCTCAGAGTAAAAATTACAAAAAATTCAATTTTAAAAAATATTAATACTTAAAGCCAATAAGGAATATATACTTGTTAGAAAAGACAAATAATACTCAAATCTCATCTTGTGCAAATTCTTGATTAGAATGAATGTAGTTGAACATACAGTTTCAGATTTGAATCATTGTATAGTATTTGAAGGTTGGGGGAGATCAATCAAATGCTTGCCTGCTGTTCCTTGGATTTCAGTTAAGATATATCTTTTTTTCAAGAGCTTCATTGTTTTCTAAGATATCCATCTCATTATGGCTTTGGACTATTCTGAGTTTTGGCATCATATAAGACTATTTACACACACACACACACACACACACACACACACACACACACACACACACACACACACACA